CCTCCAAACATCCAAAGCAGTAGGTCGTTTTTGTGAATCAGAATTCATGCATTGTTTAGCTAATTCAATATAGCAATTCGGAGTCCCAGGCGCAAATTTAGGTCGCAATCCAATGCAAATCTTTATTGCAAGTTCATCATCAAATTGATAACCATCGAAAGGTCTTTGTCCAGTTGACATTTCTGACATAATGACTCCAAAGCCGTATATATCTGCAGCTTTTGTAAATTTTTGACCTAACAGAACCTCTGGAGCGACATAAGGCATGACTCCATAAATACCACTTTCTGAATCTTTTTCATCAGTCTTCTTAGACAATCCTAGATCTGAGATGTAAGATTGTAGATATTTACTAATGCCTTCATCTTGCAAAATATTACCACTGTGAAAGTCCGCATGAATATATCCTGTATTGTGAATCTCAGCTAAATCATTTGAAATATCTAAAAGTAATTTTAATTTAATTTTCCAGGTAAGATCTCGAAATTTCATTCTTAAAAACTTATGAAGACTTCCATTATCGGTATATTGAAACACCATAAAGTATTCATTTGTTTTTGTGTTTTGAGTCAATCCATATATACCAAGCTTACTACCGTATAATCTACATTTCGCATGATCGTAAAACTTTGTAAATTTATAGAAATGAATTAATTCAGTATGTGTTTAATAAACTGTACAATGATTTATACCTCTTTCAAAAAATCATGAGAATTTTCCTTGGAACCAGATAAGGTCTTGAGTGCAACAGTGCTATATGGTTCACGTACTCGTGTATAATTACCGCGATCACCATCAATTTTTCGTATACCATCTAACCAGGTCGCAGAAAATACAGAGCCAAATCCTCCTTTGCCAATTTTTTCAATATTATTTAGTCTATCGAATGGAATCCATTCAATCACATAATCATAATTATTAGTTCTAAGTTGAAACTCTTTTATGTAATTATCGATATCCTTATTTCCACTTGTCCATTTTCGAATTGTTATGTCAGGATCACATGCTATACACCATGCTTTACTCGTGTTATATTCATTACAACGTGTACATTTTCCACAATCATTTCTTTATAATTGTTAATGTATTACATTAGTTATTTTACGTGTTATGTTGACTTTTAAATCTTGCGCAAATAATTTTATGCTCACCGGCTAATTAATGCGAATAAAATTAAGTAAATATTTATGAACTTGAATAGCTTATTTTAAAATAAATATATTAATAAAATCTTTTATACTCACGAACTAAATTAACGCGTATAAATAAAATTAAATAGTAAATATTCATGAGGTTAATGGCTTATTTAAATACTTAATAAATGCTCTTTATACTCACTAACTAAATTAACGAGAATAAAATAAAATTAAATATTCATTTGAATAGCATATTTTAAATACTTTATTTAATGAATGCCCTTTATACTCACTAACAAATTAACGAGAATAAAAATTAAATTAAATTTTCATTTGAATAGCTTATTTTAAATACTAGATTAATAAATGTTCTTTATACTTGCCGACTAAATTAACGAGAATAAAATTAAAATTAATTATTCATTTGAATAGCTTATTTTAAATACTTTACTTAATAAAATTAAATATTCATTCGAGTAGCTTATTTTAAATACTTTAATTAATAAATTCTCTTTATACTCACCCACTAAATTAACAAGAATAAAATAAAATTAAATATTCATTTGAGTTGCTTATTTTAAATATTTTACTTAATAAATTCTCTTTATACTCACGAACTAAATTAGTGAGAATAAAATAAAATTAAATTTTCATTTGAGTAGCTTATTTTAAATACTTTACTTAATAAAATTAAATATTCATTTGAACTAGCTTATTTTAAATACTTTACTTAATAAATCCTCTTTATACTCACCCACTAAATTAACGAGAATAAAATAAAATTAAACATTCATTTGAGTAGCTTATTTTAAATAGTTTACTTAATAAATCCTCTTTATACTCACTAACTAAATTAACGAGAATAAAATAAAATTAAATATTCATTTGAATAGCTTATTTTAATACTTTACTTAATAAATTCTCTTTATACTCACTAACTAAATTAACAAAGATAAAATAAATTAAATTTTCATTTGAATAGCTTATTTTAAATACTTTACTTAATAAATTCTCTTTATACTCACATACTAAATTATCGAGAATAAAATAAAATTAAATATTCATTTGAGTTGCTTATTTTAAATACCTTACTTAATAAATTCTCTTTATACTCACCCACTAAATTAACAAGAGTAAAATTAAAATTAAATAGTAAATATTTATGAACTTGAATAACTTATTTTAAATACTTTGATTAATAAATGGGGTCTTTTCCTTGAAAATGACCTTACGGTACATGATACCGTAAGGTCATTTTCAAGGCAAGGACCCCAAATGTTCTTTATACTCACAAACTAAATAACAAGAATAAAAATAAAATCAAATATTCACGAACTTGAATAGCTTATTTTAAATACTTTGTTAATAAATATTTTTTATACTCACATACTACATTAACGCAAGTAAAATAAAATTAAATAGTAAATATTCATGCACTTGAAATAGTTTATTTTAAATACATTAATAGATTTTCTTTATATTCACCCACTAAATTAATGCATATAAAATAAAATTAGCTTGCAAATATTTATGAAATTGAATAAGTTTTTTTAAATACTTTTTTTCAAATTATTTTGATCGCCTGATAATCGTCCACCACGAAGGAATCCAAAAATTTCAGATAAATCTAACTATAGTACCTAGTAATAAAAATTCATAAATTCCCTATTATATTTCGATTCTCCAGTACTATCTCTGGTAGTACACTAAATCTGGTAGTTAGTTTGATAAATAATATCAAAGTTTCCAGTTTTTTGTTAGTGTAAATTTTGATATTATTTTGACAAACCAACTGTTAGTTCCAATGTACTACTAGGGGCAATACTGCAGAATAAAAATATGGTTGGGAATCTTGAGAATTTGTGTTTTTAGACGTGCTATCATGAAAAAGCGAAATTTCAGTTTATTCGTGGTGGACGATCACAGTAATTTGAAAAGAACGATAATAAATGTTCTTTATACTCACCTACTGTAATAAATTAAATAATTATATAGTAAATATTCATTAACTTGAATAGCTTATTTTAAATACTTTGATTAATAAATGTTTCTTATACTCACCGACTAATTTAACGCGAATAAAATTAAATAGCAAATATTCATGAATAGAATAGCTTCTTTTAAATATTTAGGTTTATAAATATTTTTTATACTCACAACCTAAATTAACGTAAACCAAATGAAATTATTGAATACTTTATTTTAAATACTTGATCAATGAATACTCACATACTAAATTAACGCGAATAAATATTCATGAAATTGAATAGTTTATTTTAAATATTTTGATTAATAAATGTTCTTTATACTCACCCACTAAATTGGCACGAATAAAATAAAATTAAATAGTAAATATTCATGAACTTGAACGGCTTATTTTATATACTTTGATTAATAAATGTTCTTTATACTCACCCCCTAAATTAACATGAATAATATAAATATTTATGAACTTGGATACTTATTTAAATACTTCGATTAATAAATGTTCTTTATACTCACCGACTAAATTAACGCGAATAAAATAAAATTATATAATAGTAAATATTCATGAACTTGAATAGCTAATTTCAAATACTTAGATTAATTATATTCACTTCCTAAATTAGCAAAATAAATAAAATTAAATAGTAATTATTGACGGGCTTGAATAACTTATTTAAATTAATAAATGTTCTTATACTCACAAACTAAATTAACACAATAAAATAAAATTAAATAGTAAATATTCATGAGCTTGATTGCAATTTTAAATACTTTGATTAATAAATGTTCTTAATGCTCACCCACTAAATTAAAAATTTGAATTAAATAAAATTAAATAGTAAATATCCATAAACTTTAATAGCTTATTTTAAATATTTTGATTGATAAATGTTCTTTATACTCACCCACTAAATTAACGCGAATAAAAATAGTAAATAATCATGAACTTGAATAACTTATTTTAAATACTTAAATTAATAAATGTTTTATATCTTACCCGCTAAATAAATTGGATAAAATAAATTAAATAGTAAATATTTATAAAATAGAAAGCATAATTAAATACTCAGATTAATAAATGTTCTTTATACTCACAGACTAAATTTACATGAATAAAATAAAAAATGCTCATGAACTTGAATAGTTTATTTAAATACTTAGATTATTAATAAACGTTCTTTATACTTACGGACTAAATTAATTGATTATGAGTATATTATTTAAATAATAAACAAAATTTGATTATCATACTTACTCCCTAAAGAATTGAATAGTTTTTAAGAATCTCTAATTTTAAAATGTAAAATTCAAAATTATTAATGAAAATTTTAAATACTTTTTAATCCACTCCTCGAATGTCTTCATTCTTTTCCACACCAATTTCGTATTTGTAACAAATGCCAGTTTTCCAAATTCCCAGCCTCAGCAGATTTTAGATAATGCATAAACGCTTCACGCTTATCTATTTTAACTCCAATTCCTAAATATAACAATAACCAACTTGATACATTGCGTTAGGATTATTCATTTCTGCGGATTTTTGATAATGAATGAATGCCTTATTCTCATCCTTTTCAACTCCAATTCCATATTCGTAACAATAACCAAGCCAGAATATTCCATCTGGGTCATTCATATCGGCTGATTTTTTACAATCAATAAATTTCAGTTGATTAAATGCATCGATGATTTTAATAATTTCATCTGATGCATTATTATCTTTTGCATCTGCCATTTTATATCTAAAACGTATGCTGTACGAGAAGAATTAATTTTATTGAAATGCTGATGTAGTGCATTTGGTCAAACAATATATCTCAAATTCTATATTAAGTACTGTACAGCACTAGAGTTGTACAGTACGTATGTAAGTGAACCTTAAATTTTTACCATAACTTCAACTTGAGTTTCCCATTGGCTATTATATTTAGTTTCACCAGTATTCACCAAATTTTCACCAGCTTTATCAGCACCTCTAGTTCGCACGTGCTTACGTACTACCATATGCGCTAAAAAAAAACTTTATAGATCTAAAACTAAATATTAGGTCTGCGAAAAGTCATTTGCATTAAATAGTATTAGTGATTAAATTTTATTGTTTGGCTAAAATTTAACCAAAAATTAGTTATTGAAAGCTACATCGATATAAATTTTCACAATTTACTTAAACAAAGCTTCTTATATTTAAATTTTGTTTAGTGTTAATGTTAATAAATTTTGGTATAAATATTGATTATGATAAATCAGCTAATAAAATTGTTAAAAAGCTAAGCGGCTGATACAAACAATACCAGGAACGTAGTAATGCAAATTACGAATTATTACGAATTACGAAGTGGACTAGAATGGCAAGTGTACAAAATCTGGATTATGATTGGATGATGGTTGGACATATACAAAATGTAATACATAATAAAATTTATGTCACATGAATATATGTGCATGTATAAATGTGTAAATTGTGAAAAGAACAAATGTGTGATCTTGTATACAAGTTACTCTCGTTATAGTGAACTCTCGATATAGTGAAGACTAATTAAAATCTCGATATAGTGAAATTGGACCCAAAGCCAATCTATATAAAATTCTCTCGATATTGCGAATTTACTAATAAACTCTCGATATAGTGAATTTTTAAAAAATTTTTATTAATGGAACCGACCACTTCACTATAACGAGTTGACTTGAATACAAAAAATGCGCCAGATCCTCGATTTTGATTGGCTAACGGCCGAGGATCTTCCGCATTACACTAATTTCCGGCCTGAATTAACTTTTTAATTTTTTCACTACAAAAATAGAAATTTTTAAAAAATAAGCCCGCATTGTGGTAAAATTGACCCAGGAACAATTTTCATTTAATGGGTAATTCCGGCCTAATTTTTTGATTATCGCTCTTAGAGTTCCAATCCAGATAAATCCGTCATCCGTTTATCCATACGCACCTGATTTATTCGGATATCCGTTTACTATTGATATCCAGATAATCTGACAGATATTCGGATAATTATCCGGATATCAATAGTAAATGGATAGTAAATAGATATCCGAATAAATTCAGATCTAGATATCTGATAATTATTCGGATAAAACGCTAACCGGATTGGAACTCTAATCGCTCTTAGCCAATCAAAATCGAGAATCTGCTGGTCCAATTTTGTTGCGCATTGACTGAAACCGTAAAACGTGGTTTGAGACGTAGTTCATAATTGCTGAACTGTGGAGCGTGACTTGAAATTTGAAATGCATAGAATAAATCAATGAATAAATAAAGAGTACAATTCACCCTTCATATATATATTACTGTGTTTCTTTATATTAGTTATTCTCGTTAAAACCAAACTATCTTTATTGTTCATAAACCAAGTTAAATTGACAACGAATTCCTCCCAGTTCGTAATACTATGCGATAGTTATTTAATATTATCCAAAAAAATTTTAAAATTATATTTGCCAGAATCGTGGTTGAATAGTAAATTTCATTACCAGAAGTTATTCATGTGAGGCCTTTGCCAAACTCAAATATTGTGACTTTGAGATAATCGAGTTCATTTAGTAGTTAATCAAATACGATTTGATTGACTAAAGGTATTGAGTAATCTCATAATATGAAAGCTTCCTATCTTTTTTTTTTTTTGTATTGAATCTCGCATAAACCTTTTTTTTTCCTGATTTCTACGTAGTTTATTATCGTTAGTCGTTTTATGTATTTTCTCTTTATTTCATTTATCTCTAAAATACAACATTAAATCTGGATATAGTCATTGACTCTGGATATAATTACGGGAATCCAGATACAGGTGATAAAGTTCACCATCAAAACTAAATTAAAATATAAGCGTCTGTGTCAAATATTCCAATCCAAGTTTTCGAACATTTTTATAGAATTATCGATTCAAATTTTTCGGGCATTAGATATTAAATTTTCGATTTTACATAAATGATAGAGGTTCATTAGAAAGTTTCACGTCATATCAATTAACAAATATAATAATGATTGGGATAAAATCAAGCCAGTTAAAATTTGAATATTAACACCTAAATTGTAAACTTTAAGGTTGTAAAATGGAGTAAAATACTCCGGAATACTCCAGAGTAAACCCAACAAGTTGAACTGGGTTTAAAATATATCTATAAATTTGGAGCAGTCTGGAGTAGCCTTAGAACGTAGAATAGTTTAGTTTGATGAAAAGGGTTGAAGGTTGAATCAATCCAATCCAATCATTGACAACACTGGTTATATTTAATGATGTACGTATAGGAATATATGAAGAGGCATTTTATAAATTTAAACATAATGCAGTAAATTGTTCATGATTAGATAAATAGTGATTGTAAAACGCTTAGTATCTATGAATAAGGATAAGTATGATAGATCATTACTGAGACCAGAAATAAATAATAATGAATTGATTGATATAACACATTAATATTTTTGACAAATCTATTGTTTAAAAATTTGATATTTGTTTCATTAATATTTTTTAACAGCTTGAATTTTTGGATATAATCTCACCTGGTTTTCCGTCTGATAATATAAATTGTCTTGACTAAAAAACAGTACCTAAATATTTGTGCTACAATTATTTATTTCAACTTTTATAGTACTTAACTAGAACATGAACATGCAGGCGGCTTCGCCGCCAGGTTTATAAATTAATACGAATAAAATTGTGAAAGATAAAATTGTAAATAGGTTTATAAATCGCACGTGCATAAAATTTAGTATACTTAAAAGAAGGCCACAAAAAAAATGGTTAAGATAATTGATGTACGAATATTAAGTAAAAATGTTCATCTAAAAACTATAATTTTACAATTTTTCTCATAAACTAGCCAGTAGCTTGTTTTCCTGTACTCACGGGTTTTATATAACCTGTAAAAATGATAAAAATAATTTCGTGAAGAAAAGTTTGATATGGCCTAAAAGTTAGTGGTGATGAAGACTATAGTAAGATAACGGTTTTAGTTCGTTAACAATAGTAGCTTTAAAATGGTATAAACTACTTTTAATAATTAATAATTATTGATATGTACGGGAGTCGGGTTAAAGAAAAAAATCTATTTTAGATATCTTAAACGTTGCAAGGTTTATTAGTGTTGTAAGTAAAAATAGAATTTGGGATTGATAGGATTAAGGTGAAAATTGATTTTAAATGTTATTATGTTCAATCGGAGTGACTTCTTAATAAGCATCCTACGAGATGCGATTTCTAGAGATCGTACTGTACAATTATTATGACGTATAATAAAAGTATGTCAGATATGGGCCGCCACCGATGCTCGTTTTTTGTAAACAAATTTTTATTTCAGAAAATATTTAAATTTTGAATTCTAAAAATAACAATTATTATAAAATGCACCTATGGTGTTCAAAACCATATATAATTGATTTTAATAAAATTTAGGGTTAGGGTGTATTTTTATAAAAATTTTTTTTTATATATTATAATATATATTAGATATAAGGTCACAATTTTTGTTTTCATGAGGTTTAGAGGGGTACTGAACATTTTTACTTAGAGTACCCGATCCCGTTTACTTAGTACGTTTTTGAGAAATAGGGACCTATGGTGTTGAACACCATAGGTGCAACTTGAAAAATAAACATTAATAGTAAGAGCTATTGTATAGTATTTATTATATAATATTTTGCTTTTTCCTTTTTCTATTAAAAAATTTTTATATTAATTTTAAAAAAATATTATATAATATGTTATTATTTTTATTTATATATATATATATAGATCAAAATTAAGTTAAATAAGTAATATATTATATAAATATATGCGTGTTGACAAGGGTCAACGGATCGAGAGAACGTGCTACAACCCTTGCCTTAAATCACAGGATGAAAGGCATGGGTCGGGATCAAAGAACGAATCAATCAAATTAAATTGCATGGATCAATATATAAATAGCCAACAAAGAAAAGTCGTTTTCAACAATAGTCTTCGGCAAACAAATTTCTCGACCGCCACACACTGTAGTCACCTAATTCTGCCATTTTCCTATTTGAACAACTGAGAAAATTGCCGATGACCGAATTGATAAGTTACCGAGTCGGATCAATAAGTAACCGACTTCGGTTGAACTCAGAAACTTATTGGTTCGGCATCGGCAATTTTTTCAGTTGTTCCAGAATTTGTGAAAACAGCTGTAACAGCCGGCCTGCTTCGAGCAGGCGGGAAACCATCGGCTGATTCTGCTTCTCGCTCGTCTACTGTTACAATGATACCTGGCGCAATCTCGCTTTCTAATTTTCTGGGAGTATATCATCGTTTCAGTTAGATAAAATTAGGGTACGGCATGGGCCGGGCCGGGCCTGGGCCTAGTTTGGGCCCATATTTTTGAGCCCATTAACTTGTGGGGCGGGCTTGGGTTTAGCCCACAAAATTATTGGGCCGGGCTTGGGCTTTGTGAGAATACCCAACGGGCCAAATGATTATTTATAAAAAAAAAAAAAAAAACCAGTTTTACTTTTATTTAATGATTGATAAAAGTATCTATTTTCGTACTAGATTTAGGTAGCTTTTTCGTGTTCTTTACTTTTTTGACCTGCAGATGTATGCATACAGTAGCATCAAGTAACACAAATCAAGATAATCATATTTGCTATTAAAAGTAAAAAAAAAAGTGCATGTGCGTTTAGTAAAAGAATATAATCGAGGAAACATATGTGTGTATGTACATAACTTACGTGTGTAAAAAAAAAAAAAATCTAAACAAGTTGAGTTAACGGATTATTATATGGTTATATGGAAAGTTCTTTACTGTACTTTAAGACTAGACAAAGTATTAATGAAAGGATTTCTTTATACGTATTGGAACCAAAAGGTATACGATTGAGAAGAGTTTATTAAGAAGAGACCCATATTCTTAGATTTAAAATATTTGGGCTCTTTTCTTTTAGGTTACGTGGCTTGAAAGTATTAAAAATAGGCTGTTCAAACCATATTATAAAAGATGGACTATGGTATGTCAGCATCATTTTGATATAAAGAAGTTAGATATTGTCTATTCTAAATTAGACAACTAATCTATTGTAATATATTACTAGAAATGCAAAGCATCTATTCTGCTATAAGTGAAGACAAAAGTCCCGAGATAACTGCAAATAATGAGAACTTTGAAATAACTGAAAATCTTGAAGCAACTAACGAAAGCCCTGAAATAGCTAATGAAAGTCCTGAAGTAACTAACAAAAGTCCTGAAGTAACTAACAAAAGTCCTAAAGAAACAGAGATTAATAAAAAACGTAAAAGAAACAATTCGGAATCATGGGTCTTTAAAGAAGGACATTTTAATCATAATCCTCAAAGAGGTACTTTACGATGTTATAGTTTTTAATTCAGTGAATTAGTTAATATTATTTATATAATTTGTTAGAAAATTATGCGATATGCTCATACTGTGGAAATAGTTTAAAGCACGATAATACAACTGGAACTAGCTCGTTAATCCGTCATTTGAAAAACACAAAATGTAAAAAACATTTGAAGATAAATGAATCTCAGCAAACATTGCAATTATCTGCAGTGGGTCTTGTAAATTATAAGTTTTGTCAAGAAAAAAGTCGACATGAAATGGTAGAAATGATTATTAGACATTCGTACCCATTTCGAATGGTTGAGCACGAAGGATTTATAAAGTTTGTTTATGGCTTACAGCTAAAATATAAAGTAATAAGTGAAAAAACGGTACATAGAGATTGTGTAAAAATTGCTAAAGAACTTAAAGAGAAAGCTTATGCAAAGATAAGTAATGCACCTGGACATTTAAACTATACGACCGATATGTGGACATCGAACCAGACACTTGGAAATATGGTCATTACCTGTCATTTTATTGATATAAACTGGAAACTCCAAAAGCTGGTCATAGCCTTTAAAATGGTTTCCACGCCACATACAGGTGTTGTAATTAGCAAAATGCTCTTTAAATGCTTTAATGATTGGGACATTGCATCAAAGACATTGGCAATCACTATGGACAATACAACCAGTAATGATACCACGATTACTGACATAAAGCACAGGCTTGAGGATGAAAACATGCTCATTGCTAATGGAAATTTTTTGCACCAACACTGTTGTGCACATATATTAAATCTTATTGCTAATAATGGTCTCAAAATGGTTAAAAATATTGTAAGCAAAATTTGAGAATGTGCAAAGTGGGTTCATAGTTCACAATCTAGGTTGCAA